TGAGGAATATGGTGAAAGTTCACTATGATTTTACTTAAAAGATAAATTTTACCAGTCCTGGGTTCAAATAACTTTTAAAAAATAGTAATTCAATCATTTATAGATTTTTTATATATATAAAGTGCTTAGTAGTTGATAGTAATAATTTTTTTGTTATACTCTATACCACTGTTCCATCAAATAATACATTTTGTACTCACTAAGGGTAAGGAGATATGTTGTATTTAAGTAAACTACTACAAGCAATCAAAGACAGGATGTTCTTTTTTTTAAATTTTATTCTATTATGTTATGTTAATCACCATACATTACATCATTAGTTTTTGATGTAGTGTTCCGTGATTCATTGTTTGTGCATAACACCCAGTGCTCCATGCAGAACGTGCCCTCTTTAATACCCATCACCAGGCTAACCCATCCCCCGACCCCTCTCCCCTCTAGAACCCTCAGTTTGTTTCTCAGAAAAGACAGGATGTTCTTAAAAGTGAAAGCATAATTACGATTGCTGGATATTATTATATTCAAGTTCTTCTGAGAAAGGGAAAATGAAATGTCAATTATAAGACTTGATATATGCTATTTTAATATTAAAGAAAAGAGAAAAATAAAAGACAAATGTCAATGATACTCCAGATTTCCAGATAGGCTTTATAAAATGATCAAATCTGTTTGTAAAGTTCCTCATTAATATTTATCTTATTCAATAATATGTCTGAGGAAACAGGATACTCTGATGTAAAATAATTAAATCACTTTAGGAATATTTGTATTAAGAATTTTATTCCTTTTGTCCACTTACTGTGCTGTGCTCATTGAATATTTATTTTCTTTGTGCAGAAGAGGTTAATGGGATAGAGTTCCAAAGGGCTTGAATTAGAAGTAATCCAGGGGCTACCACTGGGACAAAATGTTACTTGGGACATTAGGAGAAGAGTCATTACCATAAATAAATTATCTCCGATCTGGGTATCAAGTTCAGTTCCTGTGATGAAACAGATGGTTTTTCCGACTTGCCACATTGTCCTTCCTTCTTATTTCTTTTCAGCTCGAAGAATGTGTTTGATTTGTGGAGAATCTAGTAGCAAAGACATTTATACAAAATTGTTTGCAGTACCTTAGTTGCTAAAAGCCTGATAGAAACCATTTGCTAGGGAAGAAAAGAATTCTTCAAAGGAACCAGTAATCTCGGTTTTGTTCTAACTCTCCAACTTCTCTGGACTGTGTAAGATATTGAAAAGAAGGAAGCAAAAAAAAAAAAAAAAAAAAGAGAGAGACAACTATCCATGGCAGATACCACAATACACTTCATATATCATTGCAACTTAAATTTCCTAATCTGATGTGGAAATTTTCTTCTGTCCCATATTTTTTCCTGAACATAAAATACTAGCACATGAAGATTAAAAACAGAGAATGTTAGGCTCCTGTCCTAGAACTATTATTTGTACATACACAGCTAAGTATCATTTTAAAATTTATAATGTGGTCTCCTCTATGGCTCAACTAATTAAAAAAATAACTTTATAAAAACATATTGAGCATCTACTCTTTATAAGATACTGTATATATATATATATATATATATATATATATATATATATATATATATATATATATATGTTCATGAAGTATGATAACCTTGAAAGAAAACCATTTTTCCCCCCTCTGGAAGTATGAATCTATTTCAAGGAGAAGATGAGACATAAGTTCAGGCAGAATTTAAAAGAATGTAATAGGTAAAACACACATAGTACAAAGTAGTGCATGATTGAATTGATAATTACTCTGACCCCAATGAGCAGTCCCCAGGCTCCTGAGTATTTCAATCAGGTCTGAGTGTTTAACCCTGTTTAGCAATCAAACTAAGTGCTCAGTAGCATTTCCATTTGTAGTAGCCTAAATAAGGGATCCTGCCTCTTACCCCACACTCCAAGGTACGTCTCCAGATTCGAGCTCAATCTCTCATAAAGAGAAGGAAAAGCCCTTCTCTTAAACCAATACCACTCTATCCTTTTGAACTCTAAATCTGTAATCAGTGAGCTTCTTTAAATGCTTAGTCTCTTTCCTGATTGTTCCCTTCACATCTGTGTTTTTATTGAAACTGAGCTGTCCCCTGAGGAAACTGCTTCTCTTCAAATGGAATCAAAGCTGTTTTTCTTTTCTTGCTCATACCATGTTCCTCAGGGCCAGTAAGGGAAGTGGACATCCTCCTCGCTCTACACGGACAGTTTCCAAACGTAACAACCTCTTCCTTCTGCAAACATCTTGCTCCTCTGAAGCACATACTGTCAGGTCACACCACCCCCTCTGTCCCCTCATTGCTTTGTCTACCAATCTCTTGTCGAGCCCTCCATTCATCCAAGTTTCAGCTTTAATCCATTGACCCATTCCTTTGTTATTATTTGTCGGTTCCTACCTGTCTTCACTTGCTGCACTGTCGAGCAAAGACTTGACAACTCATGGTAATAGGATAGCAGCGATAGTTAATTTTACTGAGTGCTTCTGGGTGCCAGGCACACTGTTCAGTGTTTTACATACTTGACATTTAACTCACCACAACCTTATAAGAGATGGTCTATTATTATTCCATTTCACCAATAAAGTAACCCAAGGTTATTAATGAATTAAGTAATGCATTTATGTGCATCTGTACATATGTATGTACATATTTTTGCAAATGATCCTCACTTCCTTTCCCTGCCTCCCTCTTGTCATTGTTCTACACATGCACAAGCCTGACTTTGGAGTAAGCCAGCCATGTGTATCCTTACTATACCCAAACAGGTGAACATTGCTGGAATAAATAATACAACTATTCAGACTGATTTCACTTTCAATTCATTTTCTCAAGTGGGCAATCAAGACTGATGACAAGCCTACTCTGTTTTTCTTCTGGGCTCACTTCCCACTCTGCAAGATAACGATTTCATCCCCCACACCTCCCTCCCCACACTTCTTTCTCACCTAATTACTTCACTTCCAACATCATTTAGAAGGAAGATGCCATCCAGAAAGGAAACTCCCTTATTTTTCATTCACATAAATCTATGGAGATACCTGTCCCCTGGACCTCTCCTGACAAGGATAGACCCTTTATTCTTTTTATCACAGGCTGGACCCTGCACTTCTGAGCTGGATCCCAGGCCCTGTCATCTTCTCAAAGATTTTACTCCCTTCTTCCTCTGGAATCATTAACATTTTATTAAGTTGAAAATACCATTAATTGTAGGCTGCACCATTGTTTTATGTACACTTATTTTCTCTAGTTGTGGTAAAATATACATAACATAAAATTTGCCATTTTAACCATTAGTAAGTGTACAGTTCGGTGGCATTAAGTACATTCACCCTGTTTTGCAACTACCACCAGCCCCCATATTTAGAACTCCTTTCATCTTTGCAGACTGCAGCAATAACTCTCCATTCTTCCCTCCCCACTGGCCCCGGCAACCACCATTCTCCCTTCAGTCTTTATGGATTTGACAAGCTAAGTACCTCATTTAAGTGAAAGCATGCAATATTTGTCCTTTTGTGACTGGCTTGTTCCACTTAGCATAGGGTCTTCCAGGTTCATCCACATTGTAGCATGTGTCAAAATGTCCTTCCTTTTTAAAGACTGAATAATATTTCATTGCAAGTATAGACCACATTTTGTTTATCCAAAACACTTGGGTTGATTCCTCCTTTGATTACTATAAATAATTCTGCTATGAATATGGGTGTACAAATACCTATGCAAGTCTCTGCTTTCAGTTCTTTTGGGAACATACCCAGAAGTGGAATGGCTGGACCATATAGTAATTCTATGTTTAATTTTTTGAGGAACCCCCATGCCACTTTCCACAACAGCTGCACCATTTTACATATCTACCAATACATGGCATTCTAATCTCTCTACATCCTTGCCAACACTCGCTATTTTCTTCTTTTTTAAATAATTGCCTGTGTGTAATTTTTTAAAAGAAAAAAAAATATATCCTATGACAGGAAATCTAATGAGTAAACCTCCAAATGTTGAGACATCAAACGCCTTCATCTTCAATATGTGGACATGTGAGAAGAAAAGTCTACTAGGTAGAAAGGGACAGTAATGGTGTGAAGCCATCTCCACCTTGACACAGAATGGAGAGAAGGAGACAAACAAGAAAACAAAATACTAGCTTAAGAACTGAACACAAGCCAGTCCTCAAACAGCTTACCAGTCTGAATTCAAACTGCCAGTGAGATTCAAAGACCACAAGTGGAAAATTTAGCCTAAAGAACATTTTGGTGAAAATTGCCTCAAGATGACTCATAGATTTTATTTATTTTATTTTATTTTATTTTATTAAAGATTTTATTTATTTATTTGACAGATTGTGAGAGCAGGAACACAGCAGGGGGAGTGAGAGAGGGAGAAGCAGGCTCCCTACTGAGCAGGGAGCCCGATGCGGGGCTCGATCCCAGGACCCTGGGATCATGACCTGAGCTGAAGGCAGACGCTTAACGACTGAGCCACCCAGGCGCCCTGACTCATAGATTTCAATGCAAATCCTTTATACTTCAATTAATGGATTATAAGACATCCCAATCTCAAAATAATTAAAATGTGATAAAACCTGTATTTTAGAACTAAGGAAATGTGGTATTTATATTTAAATTAATGTGGAATTTATGTTTATATTAAAATCATTCCCAATTAACATAAAAACATTTGAATGTCCTTCACCTTAAAAAAATAATAAACCTGAACCTTTATTTCGCTCTATTTCGCTCAGTTATCTGCCAATTTTTATCACCTCTGTTGATACATTTTTTCAGAAGTAATATCGCCAAGGCTATATTCACTTTCTCCATTACCGTTCATACTTTATTTCATCTTGTTTTCTTTCTTTTTTAACAACATAAATAATATATAGATGCATTTCAATTGTAAAAGATGCAAACAGTATAGAAAGATACAGTGTTCAAGTATCCTCTAATGTCTTCTTCCAGTTTCTCTTCCTTCATATACATCATATACATATATATGTATGAATATATATATATATATATATATATATATATCTTTGGATGTATATACTATATATACAATTAGCAATAATCGCGCCTCGGATAAACCTCATTGGCTACGATACTGCCACCGCGCAAAGCTTATACTATGTATACAATACTTCTTGTTTTACATATTGTTATCTTTTTCCTTTTATTTGTTCACTTAAGAATATGTCTTGGACAACTATCCATGTCAATACCTTTAAATCTACTGGTGTTTTTTTGACTGCCTGGTTTTATGGCATAGATAAACACTTCTACTACTGACAGAAATTTAAGTCATTTTTGATTTTCATGATTTCCATGCTGCCAAGAATAAATTCTTAGAAGTAGAATTGCTGGCTGTAAAGGGCATATGCATTTTATATTTGACAGACATTAGTAACTGGCTCTACAAAAAAAAAAAAAAATACTTCCATGATTTACACTCTGAACAAAAGTTCAATAGAGTCCTTACTCAACTACCACATCACTAAGATTGCTCTTGTTAAGAACCGAACTCTGCAAGTTGCCAAATCCACAAATACTGTTCTATTCTCCTTTTACTTAATACCTCTGCCGTCTTTACTGCAACTGATCCCTTCCTTCCTGCTGAAACAAGTCAGGGCTAGATTTCTAACAAAGTATGTGAAGAAAACCCCAGCAAAAGTGTTCCCCGAATTCCCTTTCAGCTCTAGCCAGGACTGGATTTCATGGCCTCTTTTGCTGCAATAAAGTCTGCAAAATTGGGTAATAGGATTTCTGTGTTGGTTTAGATGAATCATAAATCGTATCTTTCTATATCTTTGCTTAAATGAGTGTTGAGCACTTAATTAAAGATAACTGAAATAATTTTACCAACCAGTGGCTATTGATGAGGGGTCAATATTATAATGTAAACAGAGGAAAATTATATAAAATTGCCAAATTACATAATATTGTGCATAGGTTATAAAAGTTATACTGATTTAATGCTCGGGGGCCTGGGTTTGGTCTTCATTCTGTCAGTAAGCTTCTGAGTTTCTCATCTGTTAAACGAAGTTGACAGTACCCACCTTGAACACTTCTCAAGGGGGGGTGCAAGAATAAAAATTGATGTGGAAGTCACTTTCAAACACTAAAGTATCGTACGAATTGGCTTTCATTACCAATATATTAACTTTTGTTGACAGAGAATACAAGCATTGCAAATAAGCAAAAACATGTGTCTTTCTAGGATACTCATTTCCTCAAATCTGGATTTCTTCTGAAATAAAGAAGCTACATTTTAATTTGTTCTTTGTAAACCCTAAGTGTCATTGCTATCCCCTATATGTGCCTTTGTCTTTTCTTCTACATGGTTTAAGTAGAAAAAAATTAGGAAAAAAAAAAAAAGCACAGGTAGGGGCTTTTAACCTCCCATTTATTTATCTTTTCTTTTGACAGAAAAGCCCCCTTGATTTAAAAAAAAAAAAAAAGGCCAATTCTGGGGTCACAGAGTAAGAAGAAAGCTCCACAATTATTCTTGGCCCCAGCAACAAGCCAGAAAAGGAGAGACACAGAAGACCTGAAAAGAGAAAGAGTACAGCCTGCCTCCTGTGTCCTTCATGATGAGTGAATGAATGGTGACTGTAGGGAGCCAGGACTTAATGCCAGTCACCTGAGGAGGTTACAGAAACAGAAGTCCAGACTTTCCATGCAACCACACTCCCAAGTTTCTGTGAGACTTTTGAGCAAACAGCTCTTTGCCTCAGCAGATGTCTACTTACAGCATTGTTTTTGTATTTGCAGAACATTTTTATATGTTAAAGAGTTGCTAGAATACTTTACAAGGTCATTTTCATGGTGAGGGTTAAGAGGGGGAAATGACAGGGGTCTCGGTCATTGGGGGAAACTTTGAGAAATATTCAGAGAAAGTAGGGCAAGTAGAGACGGCTTGGTTATTTACTGGGTTCAGAGCCTGTCAACAGGAACTAAGGTGACTTGGAAACAAATCCTTTCTGCTGCAGGATGTTGAAAACCGCTGATAAAAAGCAAATGGATTCCAGTGATGGTGGTGCCTGCCGAATGATCGCTGGTGAGACTAGACCCAGATGCTGAAGAAAATCGGTGAAGAAATCAAGTTTCATCTTAAAGAATCAGACTTATCCTAGTTAGTGATTATGTTTCACACAAATTCAAAAGATCCCAGATACAAAAAAAAATGGGTTTCAGTCTTTTAACCCTTCTAGACAGGCATGAGAAATTATTGATATTTTATTTGGAAGATTATATTTATAATTTGGAGAAAGAGGGCTACCATGGAGGTAAATATTTTCTCCACTGATGATACTCTAACCTGTATACCTGTTGATCCACTCAGATCCATGTTGCTCACACCCATATCTGATATTTTATGTCACTCATTGAATTGATTCCCCCCTTTCCCATCCCATCCACCTGACCCATAAGAATGGGTCCCAAGATTGAGTCAGACCTGTGAACACTGTCTATTGGAGGATCCACTTGCCATGATTGCAGTTAGCATCTGCTAAACATGTTGCAAGATGCGAGCATTACCAATTATAATTTTGTTAAGTTCCATGAAGGCAGGGTTCAGTCCTGTCTTGTTAGTCACATTATTCCCTCCTGCAACATATGAGGTGCTTAATGAACAATGGAATAAATGCAAACCACTGACAGCAAACATGATGCATTTCTGATGACCTTTTCAGCCGACATATTGGTATAACTGATGGATTCAATATCATTTGTATATTACACACATCAGGAACAGTCTAGGTTAAATAGGATTACGTGGCTTACTCAGAGAACACAGCTGACAAATAAAACATTGTTTCTGTGCAGAAATGTGCTCTTAAAAATTGGTCTGCAAATGAACTTTCAGAACACAAACCATCTGTATGTTGGGGCCTGCCTGTCTTTAAATTTATTTATTGAGTCATTTTTTCCCCATTTCAAAATTTTTGCCTCACAGGAGGTGGCTTTACATGTTGCTTTGAGTATTTCCTCTCCTCTTGTTCCTTTTTCCCTTTAGAAAGGAATCCTCTGAAGGTCTTGGCCCCACGTCAATGCTGTATTCACAAGGATTAAGGATCAGCAGAGCTGCTGTGCATCAATTCCGACACTGAGTACATCCTGCGGATCGGCAGCACGTCGCCTGCTAGCGCGCAGGAGGTCCCAGTGTTCCAGTAGAGGCATGGTAAATTTAGCAGCTGTCTTGTATTTGTCATTGGGGATGGGGCGGAGGTGGTTGGCTGTGATCTAGACTCATCTGTGAGTTTTACTTGAAAGTTTACTTTAAAGGATTCATCTAACAGGAACGTGTTTCACATATTCTCAGTTTCTGTAAATTGTAATAACTTTGTAACAACAACATGTAGACACACAGGGACACACATGCACGTGCAGTACAACCTGTATTCTCTATGCTTAACATCTCCTTTGTTGTCAATATTCTGTTTAATTACGTATGAACTCTCAAGACCACTCAACGATAACCTACGGAGGCCATCAGTCTGGTTATTTTCATTCGTCATCTGGGTCTGTTTATAACAGAGAAATGTATTATTTTGGAAGGAAGTGGGAGAAGGTAGCAAAGGAATTAGCAGTGAGGATATGCAGAGGGTTGGTTTTTTGTTTTCTTTGTTTTGTTTTGTTTTTCCTAATAGACATTCATGCAGATAATGACAGCTAAACTCATTTATTTTATATCCTCTCCTTATCCCATCCATAGTCTAATTAAGCTTATTATGACAGAATCAAGGAAAGTTCAAGATGGAAGGAGCCTTGGAGATCATCTAGATCAAGCACCTATTTTAGAACAAAGAAAATCTGAGGTACAAAGAAAGGATGAACAATTAGAATAAAACAATGGTGGTATAAATGAGACTAAGACACTTCACTTCCAGTTTAGTGCTTATTTTATTACTTTACATTAATTTTTCATTATACTCATAGGTATCCAGCTCTGACTTGAGTCCTTATATTCTTGAAAACTACAGATGCAGAGAGTATTTCCAGAATTGGAATTAATATAATATAATATAATATAATATAATATAATATAATATAATATAATATAATATAATGTAATTAATATAATAAATAGTACATTGCCAAGTTTCCAAAGACACGGAAAAAGATTTCAACACATAACATAATCCTCTTAGTGTTTAACCCCTTGGCATTCAATCCTATGTACAGAGTGAGGAAGGATGAATGGTGTGGTAAAGAGGGACATGCAAGCCCATTAACTCTAACAAACAACCCAGGTATTAAGCCTACATTCTACTCTGTGCACAATATAGTTGAAAATGTATTGATGAAACATCATAATTTAGAAACTTCTGCTTTAGTCTAATCCTCAGCTCTTTTAATAGGGGTGAGTAGCATTCTCCGGGAGAAGTATAATATGAATGACCTCCACCTTCAGGTGTGCAGAGGAATGAATGGGCAAAGCTGGTGGTGATGGAAACAGCTAATGCCCTCCACACACTTAAATGTCAGAAATCTGCTTTATCTACTAATCAAAATCATCTAGAATCATAGCTCTTCTCTTAAAATAAAGAACTATTTTCATTTATCAAACATTTCTGTCTTTGGGGTAAATTTTTCCAATCACATAATCCACCTGAAATGAGATAAAATAATCAATATTCAAATAAATACAATAAACATATGCTAATTATGAAGCCCTGAGATCCAAAGACGAATAAGGCACATCCCGTGTCCCTATGAGACACATGATTTTCCTGTCCCATCTGTAGTATCTGAAGCACTATTTACTTTGGGTTTTTCTTTGAATCTGTTCTAAATCAACTCACTTTTTTTTTTAACTTAGTTTAATTCTAAACAATAATGCCTCTCAAGTCATGGGTTTCAAGTGCATATTTTATTTTTTCTATCATACATCAAAATACACACACACACACACACAACTATTTACATAAAATAGAGCATTCGTGGATGCCTCATCTGGACTCACTCATATACCACAAGCTGCACAGTGTTTAGGGAAACATGCTTTGGGAGGCACAAACCTATGAACAAATACTATGTTTCCTTTATCACACAACATCATTAAAACAAACACTTTCTAACTGATACAGTAACATCATTCAGGGGGACAAAGAAAAACAT